AGAAGGGAGTGGCTCGAGGGTGAGCATGGTGGGAAGTACATAAGAAATGTGAGCTGAGCTGGCCAGGTGGCGAGAAAGGCACCTCTGCAAAATTTGGGGAGAATGGTATTCAGACAGATCAATCTGTATAACTCAAGTCGTGTATGAATGAATTTAGGAGGCTGTTGCTTCAGTGTCTGACATGTAAACTTTACTACCCTGGGAGGTCATAGCCTCTTATCTTATGGCCCGAACTCAGGTGACATTCCTGCCACCACACTGTGTTCAACTGTTTATGTGCAAGGAAACGGGAAGCTGTCAGCTGGCCTCGAGGGTTACACATCAGCACCTCAGTCGGCCCTGTTTGCATTGCTCAGAGCCAAATGAAGGGAGAAGCCAGCTCTGCACATTATCAGTGCGTGGAGACAGGGCCAGGTGTAACTAATGCTGAAGCAATTGTTCTGTATTCAAGGGGAGACATCCAAGTCGTCTCCTACAATAACGAAATAGCTGAGGCTGAAAGCTTATAGAGAAAAGAGGGGTTTTTGTTTGTTCTCTGTGTGTGTGTGTGTGAGACAGGGTCTCGCTATGCAGTTCAGGCTGGCCTTGAGCTCACTTTGTAGCTCAAGCTCCTCTTGAAATTGCAATGATCCTCCTGCCTCAACCTCCCCGGTGCTGGGATTACAGCATGCACCACCATGTCCAACTAGAAAAGAGGTTTATTTAGTTCACAACTTTAGAGGGTGAGAGTCCAAACAGCATGGCATTAGCTCTACTGAGGACACCGTGTGCTGTTGCATGGCACAGCAGATGGCATCATGGTGTAGAAAAAGGAAGATCATCTGGTGAGAGGGGATGCCAGAGCTTGGAGACAGGCAGGTTCACTGTTCTATGACAATGTTCTCTCTTGAGAACCAAGATCCCTTGAAAACTGCCTCACTTCTCCCAGTGGGCCCAATACTTGTCACATCAGAGTCAAAACAAGCACCCTTGGGAGACACATTCCAACCATGTCCACACTATAGAAAGTGGGTTGAGGATACTGAAGCTCAAAGCTATTGGGGAACGGCACCAAGACAGATCTAGCAGTCAGCCCCAAAGTCCGTATTCTTCAACTACTGAGCCAGTATTTCTGAGCTTCCTGGTTGAAACTTAATTTAAAAGAATCAAACCCACATCGCTCTCTCAACATTGCAGTATTGTAAAACTTTCCATTCACATCAAAAAATTGGAAATAATATAATATATATCTACATGCCATCTACTTTGAGTCAACCATTGCTAACATTTTATTGACTGTTAGTACCAATAAATAAATAGAGGAATATGAAGCAATAGATATTGGGGGGCATCACATGTCTCCAGACAGTCACACATAGGTATGTAAGGGGCACTAGGCCTGACTGTAACATTCCTTCTCACTGTGCGTTACAGAGCTTGAAGTCCTCCAGCCCTACACCATACTGATAACAGAGACTGAGCACCACCAGGATGGAAGCTTCAGGGGACATCTCCAGGTTCGGGCAAACTTTCCTAGGACAGAATCCTGAGAGCACAGACATTTGTAAAAGGCAAGAAAAGGTGAACAGGCAACAGAGGAGGCTGAGTAGTGGTCAGGGATGGAATGGGAGCCAAAAGATGAATTTAGAATCATCTGGGCCCTCTTTTGAGAGAATGTCTGCTGCAAGTGGGGATGGACCATCCGCTTCTAGTACAGAGCAGGGTGCATCATGGGAGACATACACAGCAGGTGCATCGATGTAGGGGTCCTGAACACAAAAGGAAGAGGGCAGTCTCAGTTAGGTGCTGAGCTTCTGTGATGACTGTAGGCCAGCTAGTTCTGGCAGTATTCTCTCTGAAAATAGCAAGGAAAAGGAACAGAATGGAGGGAAGAGGAGAGACAGGTGCATATATGCATTATGACAGAATTATATGGCTAAGATTGAGAAGAAAACCCAGAGATGGGAACCCAGCATCTGGAGTCACTTTTCCTGGTGGTACCTACTATTCTGGTAGGCATCTGGGCATCTGGTAGAGACATCAGCTTAGTGTACAGGGGTACAGAGATTATTACTGGGGATTCTGCTGTGCCAAGAAAGGGTGCTGGGAAAAGCCGTATGCTTTGGGTTGGGATCCTGAGGAAACACTTTCTGGGAGATGGGATGAGTCAAAAAGGGACCAGACTTCTGCAAGAGTGGAGTGTGGCTTGGCGTCATTTCATCCCCTGACTTGATGAAGGTGATTTAGGATTGCAAGTGGCCCTGGCTTCCCACCAGTGCAATCATAAGTCTATCCTGACGGAGCATACCATCTTTAACCTCAAATCACCCCTGTAGTTTCTCATCCACCATGTTCATTATGGAATAACCACATCCAGGGAGATGGAGCCAGATACTGGATCCTTCCTGACATTAAGCAACAGGAAATACATAATCACACATATGAAGGACACTTGCATATGAAAGAGCATCATATTTGAAAAATTAAAAACTTGCTGGATAGGTTTAATAGAAAGTCAGACTTCCAGGTGAGCGTGATGGCTCACGCCTGTAATCCCAGCACTCGGGAGGCTGAGGCAGGAGGATCGTTGTGAGTTTGAGACCAGCCTGGGCTACAAAGTGAGCTCAAGGCCAGCCTGAACTGCATAGAGAGACCCTGTTCAAAAAGACAAAAAAAAAAAAGTCAGACTTCCTGGAAAGGAAACTTAGAGAACTGAAAAATAGGTTAAAAGAAAAACAGTCAGCATAAAGCATAGGGAATCAAAGATGGAAATTACAGAAAGGAGCATAAGAGATAAGTAAGTCATGGTAAAAAGGCTAAACATTCAATTGGCAAAGTTCCAGCAGGAAAAACAGACAAAATGGGACAAACACAATGTCTAATAATACCAGCACTGATGAAAGACATCAAGCTGCACATTCAAGAATCATTACAGATTCCAAGAACGATCAATAAAAACCACATAATTGTATTATAATAAAACTGACAGAAACTAAATATGGAGAAAAATCTTAAAACCATCAGAAACCCTTAGCCAATCTTACCCCCAAAAGGAAAGAAAAGACCCAAATCACGATGCAATTTGGAAGTTAAAAAGGAGGCTGAGCATGGTGGTGGATGCCTGTAATCCCAGCACTAAGGAGGCTGAGGGAGGAGGATTGCCATGAGTTGGAGGCCGGCCTGGGCTCTGCAGTGAGATCAAGGCCAGCATGAATTGTATTGGCAAGACCCTGTATCAAAAAAAGAAAGAAAGAAAAGAAAAGAAAGAAATTTAAAAAGGTGACTTAGAAATGGTGACATAGGCCTATAATCCCAGCACTTGGGAAGCTGAGGCAGGAGGATCACTGTGAGTTTGAGCCCTGGGCTACAGAGTGTGAGTTCAAGGCCAATCTTGAGACTATCATAAAAAGAAAAAAAAAGAGAAAAGAAAAAGGTGAAATCACAACAGACAGTGCTGAAACTCAGAAGTCTCTACTTTGAAAACCTATACTGCAATAAACAGAGAATCCAGAAGAAATGGATAGATTCCTAGATAAATATGAATTACCAAATCTAAACCAAAAAGATATCAAAACCCTGACTAACCCAATAACAGGCAATAATTTTTAAAAAAAACCTATCCACTAAGAAACTCCTAGTGAATTCTACAATAACTTCAGGAAAAATGTAATGCCAATAGTCTTCAAACTCCTAAATGAAACTCAAAAAGAAGAGTACTCCTAAAATAATTCCTGGAAGCCAGAATTACCCTAATTGCAAGTCAGACAAGAATCCAACCAAAAAAAAGAACTACAGGCCAATCTCTCTAATGAACAGAGATACAAAACTCTTAACAAAAATTGACAAGCAGAATGCAGCAAATCATCGAAATGATCACACACCATGACCAAGTAGGGTTCATTTTAGAGATGCAGGGATGAACCGGTACACATAAATCAATAACTGTAATGCATCACACACACAGAAGGAAGGACAGGGATGGGGATGTGGCTCAGTGGCACAACACCTGCTTGGCAAGCGTGAGGTCCTGAGTTCAATTCCTGATATCAAAAAAAAAATCAGAAAGAAGGACCAAAACCACATGATCGGGGCTGGCTTTAGCCCAGCGGTTCCTTCGAGTCTGGCTTCCCAACCGCCCGGGCCGATTGGTCCGGTGGTTTGAGACCCGCAGGCACTCTCCAGTCCTTTAAAAAAAAATACATGATCATCTCAACAGACGCATAGAAAGCCTTTGACAAAATCCAGCATTCATTCATGGTAAAAACCCAGAGGAAGGGACAAGGGATTTAGTTCAGCAGCACAGCACCTGCCTGGCAGACCCTGAGTGCAATTCCTGGTACCACCCTCCCAAAAAAAGCAAAACTCTTGAAGCAAATAGGGACAAAGGACATTACCTCAATCTGATAAAAGTCATTCATGAACACCTATATCAGACAGAAGCCAGGTCACCTTCCCCAGAGCCACACAGACTGAGGTTCAACTCCCCATAACACTCCAACTTCTGTCGTCGTCTGTCGTGTCGTGTTGAGCCCCCCCCCCGTCTCTTTAAAGGTCAGAACCAGCGGGAAAGTCTTCACAGTCTCTGTCAGATAATGCTGGATCAGCTGCTTTCCAATAAAACCAAGAAGGGGCCTTACAATAATGATCATCCCTATCACAACCCTGCTGACTTATCACACTCAGACCCATCCAGAGAAATTAAAGAAGCTACCTAAGACTTCACTGTAATTCAGTCACCACACCCTCCCCCACCCCTCCCCCAGTCCCCCCCTCCTCACCAGCTATCCCCACCCCCACCCCACCCTGCTCTGAAATGTGAGTAGCTGTTAAATCCATGACAGGTGGTCCCAGATGCCTCCCAGACTGCCCAAGGTTCTGGAGTAAAGAATTTGCCTGTACTGGGGCAGGATTTGTCAGCAGGGCAGCATGTCTCATGGCACACTTGTGCTCCTACTGATGTCACAAGAGGGACAGGCTGCTTAGCTTAAATTGTGACATCAGGGAGCAAAGCTGGGGCAGTCTGTACAGAGAGGAGGCACCTTGACAAGGGGACTACAGAATCCCAGCCAAGGAGAAAGGCGAGAAAGTGGTCATCAGACCCCGAACCTGTGAGGCTCTGGGCATCTGGTGCAAAAAGCTGGGCAGGGTCCTGGAGCCTCTGTACCCAAGAGTCTTCTCTTTCTCAGTGCAGGGCAGCAATGAACATGGCTCTCCCCGACATGCAGAAAGTGCCAGGTAAGCTCGCGTGCCTCTGGCCTTCCCTCACTATTGCCCAGAAAGTGGCCCTTTCCTTCATGATAAACCTTCCTTCTACCCCTCAGCCCTTTCACTTGGCGTTAGGACTGGGACAAGGGAAACGCTGTCCCCAGCCTGCCCCACACCTGGGTGGCTGGTAGAACTGTCCTCATCTCTCATGGGCAAACAGCTGCTTCCAGGAGAGAAGGACCCTGAGCCTGGCTTCTGCCTGGCATCACTCTCTTCCCAGGCCCAGACCAGGACCAAGACCCAGCCTCAAAACCTCCCCACAGCCAGTTCCGGATGAGTATGAACAGGAATCTATGCAAGTGTGAGGACCAATTCCTCTGTCCCATTTGCTTGGAGGTGTTCCGCGACCCAATCACTACCACCTGCGGTCACAACTTCTGCATGACCTGCCTCCAAAATTTCTGGGACCACCAGGCTGCCGTGGGGGAGATGTATCATTGCCCCCAGTGTAGGGAGAGCTTCCCCTCCAGGCCTGAGCTCCGCAAAAATGTCATCCTGGAGAACTTGGTGACCTGCATTACCCAGGCCAAAGGCCAGGTATCGAGGCCCTCACGGAACCTGGCCGGGCCCAAGGATGTGCCATGCGACTTCTGTTTTCCCCAGAAGCTCCGGTCCGTCAAGTCATGCCTGCAGTGCGTGGCCTCTCTGTGTGAGAAGCACCTGCGGAGCCACTACGACGACCAGGTGTTCCAGGACCACCAGCTGCTAGAGCCCGTGTGGGATCTCAAGACCCGCTTGTGCCGCAAGCACCACAAGCTGCGGAGGCTGTACTGCCACACGGAGGGCCGCAGCGTGTGCAGAGCCTGCCTGCTGGAGGAGCACAAGAACCACAGGACGACCCCCCTGGAGGAAGAGCGCGCCCGCATGGAGGTGAGGGGGAGCCTGGCGAAGACCAGAAGCGGGTTGCTCTAGAATCTGTTGCATTTTCTCTCACAGCTAAGCCCAGATCTGGAGACACATGCCTATAGTCCCACCTATTTAGGAGGCTGAGGCAGGTGGTTCTTGAGTTCCAAAGTCTGGGCAACATAGCAAGACCATGGCTCAAAACAAAAAATCATGCAGTTGTTAAAGTGATTGGCACCCGAGTCATGTCACGACATGAAAAACACAGGTGGGTTAGATGAACAAGACGCAGAGTTGAATGTAGGAACTCTATGTCAGCATTACTAAAATATCAGATTAACACATCAGGGTAGACCTGGAGAAATGCTAAAATATCAGATTAACACATCAGAGTAGACCTGGAGAAATAGCTCAGTGGCACAGCGTCTGCCTGGCAAATACAAGGTCCTGAGTTTGATTCCCAGTACCAAAGAAATAAAAACAACCTCCAAACAAACACAACAATTAGGGTGGGTGAAGTTTCCCCCCTTTTCTCTACTTTCAGATTTTGTATAATATATTCATATTGCTACTTCTAGGGAATGTTTTAGCTATCTCATCAGGTATACTATATGTGTTATTCCAACACAGCCACCGGCCAGCAGTCCACAGCAAGAGGAGTTTGAGCTGGAATGTAAACCAACTTCATGATTCAGGGCACTGTTTAGTTCAGTAGGCACTTTTATTATTGCCACAGTTCCTCAAAGAAGGAAAATCTGCATGCATGTTACACTCTGGCTAGCTCGATTCATGCAAAAGCTGTCCCAGTGCAAATGCCCGCAGCTGGAGCGGCAGACAGGAAAGGCTTGTCTAGGACGTGGGCCTGGCTGTGCTGCCCCCGGGGAATCCAGGTGGCTGCATCGGCTGCTGAGCTCCTCCTAGTCCTGCTACCTCCCCAGTATCTCAACCTGCTGACCCTTCCAGTCTCTCCTCGGGACCTGGAACCCTGCGGATGTCACTGTTAGGAACAAAGGACCTGATAGGCTCTCAGAGGTGACCAGATAGGAGCACAAAGGTGGACAGGGCCATCTACCCTTCTCTCTGCTCTTTCTCCTTCTCACTGAGGCTGAACAGGTGAATACGAAAAGAGCTTCATCTCTTCTGGGCTTGCACAGGAGCCATTTGCCTGAATCGGGGCCTCTCCTGCACCTACAGGTGGAGGTTCGCAAGGTCCAGGCCAATGTGGAGAACCAGATGCTGATCATTGCCTCAGACAGTCAGAAGCACCAGGGCCGGGTGGCCTTTCTCTCGGTGAGGGGGGCCTACCCCCACCACAGGCCCAATGTCTTGCCTCAGGCTGAGGGCATCTCTCAGGACCCAGAAGGGATTGAGGGTTAGGGGGGACAAGGAAGGGGGGACAGAGGAGGATTTCTAGGCCATCTCTGGGCCATGGCAGTGGGGCCCAGAAGTGGGGCTCAGAGATGCCTGTGTCTGCATCAACACTAGAAGCTGACCCAGACAACACGAGATGAAGTGAACACCTGCTTCTCCGATATTGTCCACGAAATCAAACAGCTGCAGATGAAAGTACTGGATTTCGTGGAGAAAGAGAAGATGGACGCCCTGGGGAAACTGGGCAGCTCCATCCAGCAGAGCCACAACCGGCTGCTGAAGCTGGAGGGGAACAGTGTTTGGCTTCACACTCTGCTCACCAACAGGAGTGATGAGCAATTCCTGCAGGCAAGACCTCACCATGCCCAGCCCCCATCACAGCCTCCATGGCCCACCCAGCCACACACACAGACCTCAAGGTGGTCAGCACGTATGGCTACAGCACTCACCCATCCCCTTCCTCAGGGAGCCCCTGGCCACCAGCCTGAGCCCACACCAACACCCTCAGTGTCTTGCTATACTGCAGATCTTGGCCTCGTTCTCACTGTCCCACAGCACAAGGTCCTGAAACAGCTGGGTGACCCCTGGGCATCCAAAAGTCTGCGCACCTCGATTCCTCTAGACCAAAACCCCTTTTCCTCCTTCCTTCCTGGCCTGGTTCCTCAGCCACTAGTGTGCTGCAGTGGCAGAGAGGGTGGAGGAGGTACCAAGGTACCAGGTAGTGTAGCTGGCCACAGGGTGACGGCAGCCTTTTCCATGGGTAACCCGTGCTTGGGACCTCCTAGCAAAGACCTCATTTCATTTTTTTTTTTTTTGTCTTTTTCCTTTTTATCGGTACCGGGGATTGAACTCACGACTGCCTGCTTGCAATACAGGCGCTTATGCCTGCTGAGCTAAATCCCCAGCCCCCGATGCTCACATTTGAAAATGAGCAACTTTTCCACCTGCCCATGGCTCTGGGACCCCCTGCCATCTGCCTGGGCCCCGGCTAATGCTGGGACCATCTGGCCCTCTCTGCATGTCAGGAGTTCCCCATGTTGCGGACCTTGCCAGCCTGCAAAGAACCTCTGATGGGCATCGACTGTGAGGAGACACAGAGCTTTCTCCAGCTGTCAGAGATCCTGGCCGAACTCCGGGCCCGGCTGGTGGACGTGGGTCTCAACTTTGTCAACCAGCTCTTCACAAAAGGTCAGCTTCCGTGACCTGGGGCCTTCACCCCACGGTTGGGACTGCCCCCAGGGAAGTGGCTATCGAGCCTGCCTGCCTGTGCATCATCCCAAGGTGAAACAGCCTACAGGATGTCCGTGCCTCTCTTTGAAGGATGTGGGCAGCAAGAGGGTGCTGAGTAAAGTTCCTCCATCTGTCCTAGGTATTAGGATGAACTCCTACGAGGTGCTGCCCCCAGCTGTGGACAGGAAAACACTCCTCCAGTGTGAGTTCTCAGAACCAGCGGGAAGAAAAGAAGCAGGGCCCCGGTACCCTGATCACCCCAGCCCCAGCTGCTTGGGACCTCCAGGGTGATCCCTGCTCTCTCTCCCCTAACTTCCTGATCCATGCAGGGGTCTTCAGGAGGACTTGGCCTTGCTCTAGGCCCTGGTAGGAAGGGGAGGAGACCCTGTCCCACCCTGCCTCAAAGCCAGCTCTGCTATGGCTCCTTATGCCTTGTATGGCACAACCTCTGCCCTCACCTGGGTGCCTGCCAACTTCCCCTGGGCTATAGCTTAGATGGGCTCCCTCAGACACAAGCTTCCCATGCATTTGAGGTCCCTGAAGTCCTTTTTCCCAGGCTGCGCGGGCAGCCAAATGTTAATGGCTTCTTGAAATCCTGACAGTTAAGGTTGTATTGCCTGTTCTGTCTCCCTCTGGATTACCTCTTGCAGGACCCTTCACCCCATTGAGGGTTGCACCCTGAACAAATAAAAGGAGAGGCTGTAGCTGGGCATGGCAGAGGGTGCCCATAACCCCAGCAACCTGGGAGGCTGAGGCAGGAGGAGGATCACAAGGTCAAGCTGTATATGGGCAATTTACTGATGTAGCTAGGCACTGTAGCAAAATAAATGCAAAGGGGGGGGGTGGCAATGCTGGCGATGTACCCTGGTGTTAAGGTCCTAGGTTCAATCCTCAATAGAGAGATGAGGAGGGGGGTCGGTGGGAGGGAGACCTGGCTCTTGCCTCTCCAGCAAGGTGGTCATGGGCAGCTTCCAACACATCCTTACGACTGCAGTAGGCAGGCCAGAAGAGGGGGAGATTTAGGGGAGACTGTACAGAGGTTACTCTAGGAGCCTGGGGTGGAAGCATCCCGTGACTTCTATGCAAATGCCATGCAGTAAGTACCCCTCTTCCTCCAGAGGCCTTCAGCCCTGTGCTGGCGGGCACTGACCACCGGCTATCCCCGCACCCCTCAACCCCCAGGTTACTGCAACCTGAACTTTGATTCCTCCACGGCCAGCGAGGAGCTCATCCTGTTCAAGGAGACACACTCGGTGCTGAACCTAGGCATCCTCCTGGAGCCCCAGGCCACCGTCGGCCCCATGCTGGGCTTCAAGCAGTGGCCGCAGGTGCTGTGCTCCCGAGCGCTGTCCGAGGGCCGCCACTACTGGGAGGCCGAGGTGTCCAACTCGTGGGTGTGCCTGGGCGTCACCTACCACCGCAGCAGCCCCCGGCTGGGCGGCCGGCCGCGCCGTCACGTGAGCTACCTGCTGGGCCGCAACGCCCACTCGTGGTGCCTGGAGTGGGACTCGCTGCGCCTGTCCGCGTGGCACGACAACTCGCAGACCGTCCTGCGCGGCGCCTACCACCGCGTGCTCGGCGTGGCGCTCGACCTGGGCGCGGGCTGCCTCTCCTTCTACAGCGTGGCGGGCGGCGTGAGCCTCCTCTACCGCTTCCTCGCCACCTTCCTGGAGCCGCTCTACCCCGCCGTCATGGTGGGCAGCGGCGCCTGGCTCACTCTCAGGCAGCGCCCCGAGGCTTAGGCGGCAGCCAATAAAGCTGCACTCGGAGCGCTGGCTGCGGCGCGGCGCGCTGCGCCGGGAGGGTCCTCTGCGCCCTGGGGGAGGGGAGGGGAGGGGAGGGGAGGGGAGGGGAGGGGAGGGGAGGGGAGGGGAGGGGAGGGGAGGGGAGGGGAGGGGAGGGGAGGGGAGGGAAGGGGAGGGGAGGGGAGGGGAGGGGAGGGCTGCAGGGTGGGGCGTCTGCTCCCTGCTCCCCGCCAGGGGGCCCTGGGCGCCGAGCGTTCCAAGTAGGCGCACCCCTTGCCTGACACAGCCACGGGAGAGCGCCGAACGGGCTGCAGCTCCCCAAGGGAAGGGGGCAGCCCTGGGCCTGTAGAGGGGAGGTTTCCGTCGTCTCCCTCGCCAGCAGAGGTCTCTGGTCCTGGGTCTCTGTCCTGTTCCCCAAAGCGCCTCCTGAGACTGAGAGAGGCTGAGGCCAGGTGCTTCTCTCCAGCTCCTTCCTCCGAAGCTGGCACCGACAGGGACAGGGGTGATGTGACTGAGTTCTGCTTCTCTAGGGCCTGGGAGGTTAGGGTGGAGGAACCCAGGCCGACCTCCCATCCCACCCAAACTGGTAGGCTGAGAAGCTAGGCCCCTCAGAGGCCAGGGCACAGCTTCTCCTGGAGCTGGTATTTTCTGGCCTGGAGGGGCACCTGGGTGCCGTGCTGCCTGGGTAAGAGGGGAGAGGTAAGAGGGGAAATTTTTATCTAAGTTCTGTTTAAAAAAAATTTTTTTTAAAGTCTACACTAATAAAACAGTTATATATTGCATATTGTTGTCTTCAAAGTAGTTGCTCAGGTTGTAAGATATAGTCATATATATTTGATCAGACAATATCAGCACAAACTTCTTCAATGAACTAAGAGAAATTGGTAGTATAATTATCTTAGCTATCTTTTATCAGTTACCATGGTCAATTTCCTATTACCTTGTTTTTGAGAAATTCTGTATTTTTGTTTTTATTTTTTCTCTTTAAGAGAAAAGAGTTATAAGTTCAAAAGGAGTAACCAAGTCACTTTATTGGAAAGAGAAGAGAAATGGGGAAGCGAAATCATTGTGTTGGAAAAAGGAGAGAAAATAACTAGATGGATAGTTACCGACCTGAAGTGAGGAGTCCGCAGCCAGCACAGAGGAGGCAGTCTTTGTTCTGGCTTTTATTACACTGCAAGAACGGACTTCTCCCCAGGGAGAGCTGCTATCACCTGCCTGACCACCTGGGCTCTGAGCCCTTGCCTTAATCATTGTCTCTTCCACTGCCCATGTGTACATTCTTCAGTAAGCACTTGGATGGTCTCTCTGTGCTGTCCAGGTGCTCATCTTGGGAGATTTCCAGCAGAGCTACATTCAAGGCTGAATGAGTAAAAGGGACACATGTACCTTCAAGTGTGTTAATATGGTGAGAATAATTGTATATATGTTCTTAGATATTCGGGCATGTGGGTGCTTAGGTGTTAGTGTATGTCTGATACACTGAGGTTTTATGACAGTCCTCCTCGCCTTTGCTTTGTGCTTCATGGAGGTGAAGGGAGGAGGGACCTGAGCCTTGCTGTGAGGAGAGCCAGCCAGCCTTCTGAGCTACTCTCTCTCTCAGGGAGGAGTTTAACTCCTTTATTTCTTAGGAACCTCAGTGAGGCCCTTAACCCTTTCCTGTCTGCCCTCCAACTTTCCCTGCACATACACTACCCTGCACCCTCCCTCGGCCTCCCAGGCTGCAGATTCCACTCAGGCTCTGTCCATATCCAGGTCTGCCATCTACCTACCCAGAGGGGTGTGTGGAAGCCTACAGACAGGCTTGATCCAGGCCAGGCCTCTGCTGAGGGACCCTGGTCTCAGCCCTTTTCGGGGAGCAAAGGGTTCTATCCTCAACCGGACACTGTTCCAGGGCATTCCAAAACCAGGGCTCTGGGTAATGTTAAAGATTGACTCTGAAGAGGAAATGATTCAAGTCATAAGGGAGAAAATCCCTAAAGCAAAGCAGCTGCCAGCCAGGCCTGACCACACGGATTGCAAAATTCCACCCGACCTGGCCCATTCCTGGAAAACTCAGTGACCCAATTCTCTCTTTGACATGCTCATTTTGAATGGCGGGGAGGAGCGTGAAGGATGAGCTCTGAAGGTCTTTGGGGAGTGCGATCCCTTTGGCTCCTCTGAGCAAACCCTGGCTATGACCTACCTGGTGGCCTTCCCAGCAGTCTTCCCTCAGTGCCAGTGGCTTTTATTCCAGCCTTCACTCTTCTCAGGGAAAGCCAGAGGAAGACTGAGTGTCCTTCCTGGCTGGGCTGAGGAGGTGAGGGTACAGCCTAGTTAGACAGCAGGGCTGCGTGGATCTCGGAGTCCTCCGTACCAGGGAGCTGATGCGCAGGGGGCTGCTTCCTTTCTGCTCCTGGCTCCCGGTGATCCTAGCGAATGGCACATGGTAAGGAGCTGTGACCCCTTGGGGCACATGCCCAAAGGAATAGGGGTGTTCCTGGCTTTTTGTTTTTGCAGAACGAGGGATCAAATTCAGGGCTTAGTACTGCCGAGCTATAATCCACCCTTTTGATTTTTCATTTTGAGATAGTCTTGCTACATCGCCCACACAGGAGTTGAATTTAGCAATCTTCTGGCCTCAGCCTCCCTCGGCGTTGGGATTAAGGCATGTATCCCCATACCTAGTTTGTTACTGGGTTTCTTAAACAGCCGTTCTTTGCTTGGAGGTCTGGGGCCTCTAACGGTCCTCAAGCTCTTTTTAGTACTTCCTAAAACCAAAACGCAATGTTGCCTATACTTTGGGTGGGCAAACCAAACTGTCAGGGCTCCTTGGCATGCTTCAGTATGCACCTCGAAGGGGAAATATTAAGGTGGGTTAGCAATAATAGTTAAAGAGATAGAAATGCTAAATACTCTGATTTAATCATTACACATACTTGAATTCTATTATAACCTATACCTAACTACAAATAGGCATCATTTTTTGTGGGGACTTGATGCCCATGAAATGGGTCACTGGAAAAGAAGAAGGCACCCGAAGAAAGAGAAAACCACAGGAGGAGCAGTCTATGCACAAGATGAAGTGAAGCCTTGAAGAGGCAGATTTAGAGAACACAAGAGCATCCAAAGAAAGAAAGAAAATTAAAAACAAAACCTTTGCAGGGCAGTACAGAAAAGCCTAAGCGTCAAAAGGAGAAAAGGCCGAGATGTAGTCTCTAAGGAGGAAAGGAACATAGAAACGAGAGAAAGGAACAAGGCAAGAAAAGAGTAGAGGGAAAAAAGGTTTGGCACCTGTCTGTTCTTGGATTTTGAAGCTCTTCAATTGGTTCTCCTGAGGTTAAAGTTGAAAAACTAGTTTAGAGCTTGGTTTTATGATATTCATGTTCATATCACCTATGTGAACGGGGGTTTGATTCTAATGAAGGCCAGGTGGGTGAACACAAAGTATTTAGTACGCTTATGGCCCAATGTGGAAATTACTTTTCTTCATTTTCTAAACGCTTTATTACATTTTTCTTTTTTTGGTATCAGGAATTGAACCTAGGACCTCATGCTTGCCAAGCAGGTGCTGTGCCGCTGAGTTGCACCCCTGGCTCTATTACATTTTCCTTACATTTGATAAAATTTCCCTTTAGGAGAGTGGTACTGGTTTATAATTGCCATGATGGAATTATTTTCCCTTGAGAAAGAATTTATTTTAAGCTGGAGAATTAACAGGCTTTGCAGAATCTGTTTCTGGATTGGATTTTTTTTTCGTGTTGAGTTGGTTATTTTTATGCTCATTGGTTTTCTCTGTAAAACAGTTTAGACTCCCCCCTCTTTTTTTGACCCACCCCACCCTCTCCCCTCTTTGTTATCTTGAAGTATATTTTCTAGATTGGAGAGCAGAATATTATAACAATCAATCATAAGCTTATGTTATGTATAGTTCTGAAAGTCTCAAAGGGTCTCGATACAAAATCAGTTTATATTCTGGAGAAGTTTGTAATCAAGTGTTTTATTAATAAAAAGATAAAAACAAAAGCAATTTGAACATGAGCTGCATAGTGAAGCCCTGTCTCAAAAAAAAAAAGCAATTTGCCTTTAACAAACTATGTAGTGCCTCCTGAGTTCCAGCCACAGCTCACTGCAAATGGAATGTGCGTAACCCATTTAATGTGCCTAGGGACCTTATGAATATGTATTACTTATCCCAGTGGTACCAGTGAGGAAAGGGAGGGATGCAAGGTTAACTAAACTTGCTGAAGGTGAGATGTGTCACCACCTCCACCTTGGAAGTCAGGATTCAAAGCCAGGCAGTCTGCTTTGTTAACCACCATGTTACTCCACTTTTCCTGTAATGCATTCCTCGTAGAAAGTCTGCACACTATGGGAAAAGAAAATAACTTTCCCATAGCCTCCCCCAACTCTGTGACAAGCCCTCCTCGAGTGCTTCTGCCCAGCCTTATACACACAGGACCAGTGATCAGCGGGACGAGGAGACACAGTGAAACTCATGTTGTGCATTTGCCCAAGTTCACTGCAAAATGCAAAAGTGATTCTTTGACTTGTGTTACCAGTACGTGCCACGGTTTTGTTCTGGTTCTCACTAGAGGTGGCAGCAAGAGGCAAAAGCCCAGCAAAGCCGTCTGTGCTGCTTTCTCATTGTTCCTCTCAGTTCAGATCAGACTCAGGAGGGGCCAGAGAAAGCCGCAGGACTCCTCATCTCACTCCACACATGGACAGTGGTGGGGACCAAGACCCATGGCAAGAGCATGGAAGGCCCCATGTCCCCTCCCCACCCTGGAGGGTAGTGTGCTCAGGGACAGGGCAGGAAGAAACAGAAGCCTTGCCTGACGTCGTGGGTACCCTTGACTGTCAGGAGCGTAAGCCTGCCTCTGCAGTTTGGGCAAAGGACCCACCAGCTTGCAAGGACTGGGTCATCTTCAGCCTGGCCTACAAGCCAAGTCTCTCCCTAACCCACTTCCCAGTTGTTGGCCCAGCTATCAGTTGCAGTAGCCCGCATGGGCTTCATGAGCCCCCTCAATGACCTCCCTTCTAGCACCCAGAGCACCCCACTTCGGGGCCTTTGCCTGGAGCACCCTGCCCGCCCAACTCCCTTGCCACTCTTACTCCTGCTCATTCCTTAAGACTCAGCTAAGGTCAGCTCCAGGAAGCCAGTCTCCAACTGTACCCCACCCTAGCCAGGTGCAATGCCCCTCTCTGAGCCCCTGACACCCTCTACTCATCTCCCTTCTGGCACCCACACTGCATGTGTTTGGAGCGTGAATTCACCACCAGACTCAAGGTCAGCTCGGTGCCACACCTGTGAGCCTCCAGCGCTGCACATGTGCCTGACACATCCATGTGCTTCACTGAGAGTTGACAGGACCCAGGGGCCCCCACCCCCACCCCAGAGAGGGAGGAAGGGGGCACTCATCTTTTCCGGGGCCTGGCAAGGCCTGGCAAGGGTGGCCCAAGTGTGGCACACCCCAACTTCCTTCTCCTTTGCCAGGTCTTCCTCCTGAAGCAAAGTTCATGTGCCCACCGTGTACACCTAGCTGGGGACGAAGGAGCCACTAGTGCCCCCTCTATCTCCCCCTGGAGATGGAAGGTTCTTGAAGGCTGAGCCCCATCCTGTAGCTGTGAGAGGCAGAGAGGCGGCCTTCTCAGCCCATGCCAGGCACAGGGCAAACTGCTGGCTTGCCAAGGCTTGTAGCTACTGCATTTTCTCAGCTCAGAAGACTAGGAAACAAGGGGAGCTTTAGGACTCGGGGTGAAGTAAAGGAACATGTTAACTCGATAATCAAGATAAATAGCATTTTGATGCAACTATGTCTCTAAATTAATCCCCAAACCCACACTTGGCAGAATTTTAAAACTGCACAAAAAGACCAGATTTGAACTGGAGCTTACACATGCTACCTCAAATCCCAGCCCTGGTTCCAGTGAAATGTTATTTACAAAACCAAACAACCTGCCCCCTGGGCCATGGTTTGCTGGTCTGATTTTTTTTTTTTTAATAAAGCTCTGTGGTTACAGAGCTTTTAGGCATACCCTTAAATTTTGAGCCAGAAGCAAGTGGTTTCGTGATCTCACCATAGTTGATGTCACAGGTCTGGAGGACACTTACAGGATTCAGTGGCTAAAGGAAGGGAGGTGGGTGCCCCCTGTGGTTAGAAACGGGTAGGTACACTGATACCGTAGGAGAAAAGTTAAAGGACATCCTGTAGTCAGTGGTGAGGCATGTCTGTAATCCCAGTACTCTGGCAGGCTGAGGCAGGAGGATCACAGTAAAGGGCTGAAGATGTAGATCAGTGTGAAGGTTCAATTTGCAGTACGCAAAACAATGAATTCCTGTAGCCACGCCCCTTTGCCTCGGGCACCAGTTACACAGTTTATGGTTTCCTACCAAATGATCTGGAAACTGCCTCTTCCTCATTTGGGGCCACAGTCTCCCGGCCTGGAAGAGAAGAGCTGTGTCACTTTTGTGTTTCACACTGCAAACCTTGCGACTGGCGATGACGTGTTTAGATCTCTGCCCACTTGGCTCCAGTGTTTCATATATGTCCCTGAGTGGCACAATGCTTAGCCCAGTGGATTCCGCCGACAGCCACATGGACCCATGCCCTGCCACAGTACATCTTTGGGGCAGCCTGACACGGCTCACAGTGGTGGCCACACTGGGACAGGCTCTGGGGGAAGGAGATGACTAAGGAGTGATGCCCCTGCAGGTCAGGGGGCCTCCCCTGAAGAACTGTAGTTGACCTGAGACATGGTGGATGTCCCAGCTGGACAGGATGGGAGATGGTGATTAGGCTCACGGGTTCCTAAGCTAGACTGCCTGCTTCACGTGACAGCTCGACTGCTTACAACAGTGTCACCTGACACAGGTTACTTAATGTTCTGGTTTAAACCAAGATGTCCCCCAAAGCCTTATAACCCTAAGGTGGGCTTTGGAAAGGTGAGTGCGTTATGGAGCCTATGGCTGCCCTGTGGAGGACTTGGGCCTTGCGGTGTGGCCTGAAAGGGTTGTCTTCCCTTCCCTGCCCTTCTCTTCACTATCTGCTTCCCATCTGCCATCCCATGAGCAGTTTCTCCTCTGCAGTGTCCCTCTGCCCTGCCACCCGGCTGGCTATGGACTGAAACCTCTGCAAACTGTGACCCCCTCCCAAAACCTCTACTACTCCTTTAAGTTGTGGGTACCAGGTATTGTCTCAGGAGCAAGGAAAATGACTAAGACACAGACTTAACCTGTGTGTGACTTAGATTTCTCATCTAAACACACACACACACACACACACACACACACACACACACAATAACAGTAGTAACCACCTCACAG